TATAAGTGGTCACAGCACAATCACTTGAAAATCAAAAGCCAACCTCAACTACTGCCGTTTCCCTAATTCTGCGCACTAACTGCATGCTGAGATTCCCTCAGTTAGGCTCTCTGTGATTTTGGACTCACGCGAGGGCTGCCGGTCTATCTAGTGCAGGTTTCTTTACAGGTATTTGGAGCGATTGTGGGCTTGTTATGTACTCTGCTGACCACAAAAATATTGTTGCTGGCGAGAAGCTCAGAGCTATACTATTTATGAGCAAAGAGGAAAGGGGAAGAGCATATAAAACCTGAATAAACAGGAAATACATCTGTTGCACACTCACACTACTGCTGTAAGTGAAAACCCCAAGTTAATCAGTCAGCAGACTATGCAGAGCAGTCATAAATGACCACCCCAGAGACAACCATAAACTTCCTGCATGCACATCTGCTCTCTGTCACACCAAGAATTTAGATAAGAGAAGATTTTGAGGATTTTTCTGCCGCTCCACAACACTGAGGACCCTCGACCACTATATAATAACAACATGTCAGATTTTGTTATTATAAAACGTTTGTATATGACCAAAGCATGACACCAGTGTTCGGGGGAGTTTCCAGCAGCTGTTTAAACGACTTCACACTAACACAACCTTTGTAGGCACAGGAAATATGTCAACAAAACAGTCTAGATAAGACCAAACCAGCATTGTCGCATGTGGATGACAGACAGACAGACAGACAGGCAGGCAGGCAGACAGATAGATAGATAGATAGACAGACAGATATATAATAAAACATGTGAAATGAAACATTTTATAATCAAAAAGTAATCTATTAATATAAAATAAAATTATCAATCACTTTGCCAACTCAGGGCCCTATTTTAACAATCTAAGCACATGGTCCAAATCGCACGGCGCAGGTACATTCAAGGCATGTCCGAATCCACTTTTGCTAGTTTAACGTCGGTGCACCCGGTGTTCTGTCGATTTGTGCTACCCTGTCAAATTTTGCTACCTCCTAGTGGGTAGTACAATTCGACAACGAAAAATGCTACCTGTAAACCTGGTCTCATAAAAATACGTACCTCTGGGTACTTTTCTGCAAGACCGTTTTTACGTACCTTACTGCACGTTTCACCGCAGTTTCAAAGAAAAATGTCCACTGAGTGGCGCTAAAACACGGGTTCAATACGTGAACCTTGGCACATTTTTATTCCATTGATATAGGTACATATTGCTGTGTTTTTATTACGTTGCTTCAGGTACGTACTGCGGCGGTTCAGAATTCAAATATCCGAGGACTGTCGCTAAAAGTTAATGCTCTATCGTGTTGGAAATATGCCTTACACCAAACCCAACCCTAAACCTACCCGGTAGTGTTAACAAATGCAAAACTGATATAAAAACGCATTTGTTGATGCAACCGTGCCATTTGAACTTCCTTATATGCAGATTTGAACTGTTTTGTCGAATCGTAGTTACATGGGATTCAAACCGGAGCTCCTCACCTCTCAAGTACGTCTCCGTAATCCGTGAGCTACCGAACAAACCTACTGTCTATGAAAAACCATAGATATGAAGATGGATATGTGAGATGCTAACAATTCAAAAGCATCAGTTTTCAAATCTCCCAGCATATTAAAATTGTTTTGAAGTCATAACACAATATTCTTCAAGTAATTGTGCGAAAATTACGCTTTATTAATCAAAACTAAATTTGTGTGAAAAGGAATAAAAGGTGTCTGAGTTTTACTGCCTCTAGTGTTCATTTCTTTTGGAAACTGATATGTACTTATTGGTATGTATTTCGCGTCTCGCGAAAAAGTGCCCCCAGGTACGTTTTTGCCATGAAACCAGGTAGAAAATTATGGTTTATGAACATCTACACCTACCACAACCCTAAACCTACCCTTACAGTAATGCAAATACAGTAATTATGTGTTATATTCGCGGGCTAGAAGGGATACAGCTACAGGAAACCAACAATAAATATTTTTTCTACCTATTAGATTGTGTTAATAAAAATGTCTACACCTACCCCAACCCTAAACCTACCCTTACAGTAATGCAAATACAGTAATTATGTGTTATATTCGCGGGCTAGAAGGGATACAGCTACAGGAAACCAACAATAAATATTTTTTCTACCTATTAGATTGTGTTAATAAAAATGTCTACACCTACCCCAACCCTAAACCTACCCTTACAGTAATGCAGATATATTAAATATTGTATGAGAAAAAAGACGCATTATTGATGTGCACATGCGCAGTAAACCCTGGTAGGACAATCTGATGGGTAGGATAAAATGTCAGGACACCGGCGCATGGTCTAAAAGGGTCGTTCCTATTCTTTTAATGAGTAATGGGTGTGTTTTGGGCATAATATGCAATAAACCAATCAGAGTCTCATCTCCAATTACCTTTAAGAGCCAGTTGCTCTTGTGCTATGGCGGATTCGCTATTTACAAGGCGGAATTTGCAAGAGCAAAGACTGAACGCATCTCCAGAGAGGAAACGGAGCTGCTCGTGCGCGAGCAAATAGGTAGCCTAATTCTGATACATGCAATGCCTATATCCATTATGACATGTTGGCATTTTTACATTTATGTAGTCTACACAATAATAATCTTTTACATTGTAATCCTTTAAATTTTTATATTTGGCATGTTTGTGTGCTGCTGCGCATCCCTGTGTGTGTAATAAACATAGTGTACGTGCATTGTGGACCCGCCTATAGGCGCATATTACTAACGCACCCTTTAAATAACAAAAAAATACTGCGCCATTTACTTTAGACCAGAGCATCTGAGCATCTCAACAACCTGAGAAACATGAATCTCTAAGTGAGTGAAAGACACTATGCTTTTTTATTTCACACCTGAACAGCGCTATAAATATAGTGTGTTATAGAACCTAGATGAAGGACGTTGTCATGGTGCTTGAGTAATAGGTGTCTCACATCTATTCTTCATGAGTAAGTGAGGTGGACAGAAGTGCATTATGGGGTTTGGGAGTCGGGTGGGAGTGTTTTTGGGAGAAGAAGTGAACAGATGCTGCAGTCAGAGGACTTGAGAAAATTTAAAACTACTTTCTATGGAGTTCCTGCACTAGCTCTTCAGAAAGTGAGTAGCTCTTATAATCTGTGTGGAAAACTTTCTCCACACACACAGTCTGCTGCCTCAAGCATTTGTTTCCTACTGTGTGTGTGTGAAACGACTGAATTCAAGTGCAAAAAAGCAACTCAACTTTTAGCAAAAAAAAATTACCTAAGAGAACACTTTTATCAAAATATGAATCTAGATCTTTTCATTATATCAAAACATGTTCCTTTTTTGCAGCAAACAAGAAGGCATAGTTTTGCATCAGGAATGCTGCGTGCTGCAATAAAACCTCATTATCATGACGCATGTACATCTCTAGCTGTGAAACTCCTCGTTTGTTTCCTAACGGCTATTTTCTTGACAAAGATGAGCAACTGCAATTGAAAGCAATAATATTTTATGTACTTAAAAGCAATTGTGTTATAATGAGTTGATCTTTTAGCTATGTTTTTAGAGACATTTGCTGATAACTTTGCAGAGAAAGTCTTCTATCTTATTTTAGACCCAGTTTTACATAATATGTGCTTAAACGACTGAATTCAAGTGCAAAAAAGCAACTCAACTTTTAGCAAAAAAAAATTACCTAAGAGAACACTTTTATCAAAATATTAATCTAGATCTTTTCATTATATCAAAACATGTTCCTTTTTTGCAGCAAACAAGAAGGCATAGTTTTGCATCAGGAATGCTGCGTGCTGCAATAAAACCTCATTATCATGACGCATGTACATCTCCAGCTGTGAAACTCCTCGTTTGTTTCCTAACGGCTATTTTCTTGACAAAGATGAGCAACTGCAATTGAAAGCAATAATATTTTATGTACTTAAAAGCAATTGTGTTATAATGAGTTGATCTTTTAGCTATGTTTTTAGAGACATTTGCTGATAACTTTGCAGAGAAAGTCTTCTATCTTATTTTAGACCCAGTTTTACATAATATGTGCTTTAAGCAAAGTCAAATTTTTTGAGGAAAGTGGAAATTTGTTAATCTCACACTTTATTTCACACACTATCCAGCGAGAACAAATTTACAAAACTAATTAAAACTGAAATAAATATGAATGAAATCTATGTAAACATTAAAAATCTAATAAATATGACAAAATACTAAAACTTTAACTAAAATTAAAATACTAATAAAAACTGATTCAAAATAATAAAAAGTATAATAGTATCTCACTGCTACTAGAATAACCCTGATTTAAGTGATTACAAGACTGTAATTGTATTGCAGCAGATTATGCTACAATAGTTCTTAAACACAAGCTTATCTACTGTATATCTTAAACACATTCTTATCTATAGTTCGAAAATTGTCTCACATATAATGATTGATTTCTTGTCTTTAAACATTTAAAAATAGACTTTGACACATCTACTGCACTGCAACCAGTTGCTCTCCATCAAGTGTGCTGCTTTTCTCCATTGTGAAACATCCTCTAACATGCTATTCAACGTGAATTCCCATTTTTGCTGAAATAAATAGCAGCAGGAATGTCTCCTAAAGGATGCTTTTAGCTGATGTTTGGTACATTTAATTCCTGAGTCAGTACTAAAATGTCTTTTGTACAAAACTAATTAAAACTGAAATAAATATGAATGAAATCTATGTAAACATTAAAAATCTAATAAATATGACAAAATACTAAAACTTTAACTAAAATTAAAATACTAATAAAAACTGATTCAAAATAATAAAAAGTATAATAGTATCTCACTGCTACTAGAATAACCCTGATTTAAGTGATTACAAGCCTGTAATTGTATTGCAGCAGATTATGCTACAATAGTTCTTAAACACATTCTTATCTATAGTTCGAAAATTGTCTCACATATAATGATTGATTTCTTGTCTTTAAACATTTAAACCACGCCAACGGTAAAATACCATAACACAAAAACAAACACTTACCGGAGAAAACAAGGAGCTCAATGGTGAAACCAATAAAACCAATAAAACCAATTGTGGGGCGTCCATCGCAGCTGCTTTTTCTTCCGTAAATGTTCGTAGTATACCATGGAAATAAAAAAAACGTTGCAATCCGTAAAGTTCTCCTGCTTTTCTCACAAGCGCGTAAAAGTAAACTCAGTCAAACTGTCTCGTCGGACACGGTGTTGACAGAGGAGCAAAACCTAACAAGTCGAGATGAGGGAACATCACAAAGAGCCGTGAGTGAGCAGTCGCTCGAGCTGCTGACAGTTCTGCGACCAATGAGCGAATCACAGTCAGACCTATAGAGGAGCTTTACAGCTTCACTACTTGCGAGATACTGACAGTACACGACTCATATCAAGACTGCATCACTCTTGTTCGTCATCGGCTTACAAGTGTCTTTGTTGCGTTAGTGCGAAAGCAATAGATGAAATCTCAAGGTCTCTGCTCTTTGTGAACACCTGGCTGCAGAAAATGACTCGTGTGTGAGCTTGTTTGTTTAGCAGGAGGATGCCATTTAATTAAATTGTTTAATTATCACAGTATACAAAATATAGAAGGTAAGAATGACTTATAATTACGAAGAAAAATTATATTTCATTTCATATTTCACAATATGTTTTAGGTAAAAAGTATGAATTGCCTTAATTCATGGGGATTGTGACATTTCCATTAATTAGCCTATTTTCTCTCAATAACTTGAGTTATAGTTAAAGTAATAATGTACACAAGAATGAAAAATTGAATTATTCCTTCAATGTTTATAGTATTATTTTAGCTTACCTGATGGTGTTGTCTTTGTATATCGTTAAGCAGAACCTGATTTTACCAAGTGCAACACGTTCCTGGATCAACATCTTTGTAAAGAACCAGTTCATAGTTTTTGTGAAATTTAGGCTTACAATCAGTGTTTGATGCTTGTACATCAGTGTCATTCATCTATCATTTCCTCTGATTTTAGGGATTACTCATGGTTAGGTGTAGGGATATGGTCAAGACTACATTTTTGGATTCAAATGTTGTTCCAGGGTCAACAAAATATGTTGACCTAGGAACACATCTAATTAATATTCTATCATATTGTATGATGTCCTGAGATGATGTTCTTTGACTAAAGAATTATCTAAAAATAAAATAAAATAAAAATTATACAAACTATGCTTTCTTTGTCATTAGCAGACACATTTTATCCAAAGTGACTTTTAACTCTATAAATTGTATAATTGCAGGAGCAACCTGGTTAAGCTCCATTCTCAAGGAAAGGGCACTGACTGATTTGGAATGTCATCTGATGAATATTCAGACAGAGACAAAATAATGTAATTAAAACTGCTAGAATCCATTATTCTGGATACATGTTTATTATGTAAGTGCCCTGATTAATATGTTGTTGCGTTCTGTTTCACACAATGATCCATCACAATGCTGATTTATAGCCTCTGTACTTTTAAATAAAAAATGGCTGCAATTAGTTTAAGAGTGCTTTTCAACATGAACAATTAATTAACTAGCATGAATTCAGGTTAATCAGTTTTGCAATTCATGTCTATTATATGTGTGCGCACACACACACACACACACACGCGCACAAACACACATACATACATATCTGCCTATCTGGCCATGGTCTCAAGTTTCTCAATTAAATTCCATATATATTGATATAACAATGGTTTAGAGATAAGATTATCCTTCAGTTGTGCATGTGAGGCTGGATGCAGCTTGTCTTGTGATAAATAAGCTAATTTCTGTGTCTCAGAACAGAGCTCATTCTAATCATTTTCCATTTAAACTAACTAAATCACATTTGGTGAAAAAATACTCACTGTAATATCTGTGTTCACACCGCTGAGGATCAGCCCCCCCACTTCTGATTGTTCAGTGATTGATATGATCTCCTGTGCATGCAGTTATTGAGAAACTGCCATTCTGTGCATGCAACGTTTCCCCCAAGGCTTATTATGCATGTGACATCTCATCAGACAGAATCAGTGGATCTATTTCCTGAGGATGAATGTCTGAATGCTCATTCATTATAAGTGCAGAGTTAATGTGCCTGAGATCACATTACGGTTGCTTTGTTCATGAATACTTGTTTACAACTACTGCTATCATTAAATTACTAAAATGTGGCTTTCAGTGCTGTACAGCATCATTTATGTCATTGATTCAGTTACACAGTATTTCACATTTTATTAAGAAAACTTTACTGGAAATTTACTCACCCCAGATGTAGATGTAGTTTGTTTCTTCATCTGAACATATTTGGAGAAATTTAGCATTATATCACCAATGGATCCTCTGCAGTGAATGGGTGCCATCAGAATGAGAGTCCAAACAGCTAATAAAACTATCATAAGTAAAACGTGTTTTTAATAAACAAATGCATCAAGACATTTTAACAATCCAGAATATTGCTTTCTCTCATCTCAATCAGCAGAGAAATATACGCAGATCAAGCACTGTTTGCACACAAAAAACAATCCAAAAGAGTTCTAAACAAATATTTCTGTGAATTTTGATGTGAGAAGACAACAGGGGATAGACTTTATTATGGATTGGAGATGGAAGGATTATTATAGATTATAGAGTGGTGGATTTTTGGCCAGAAGCTAGTTTAAAGTTAAAACAGTGTGATGTTTTTATCAGCTGTTTGAACTCTCATTCTGGTGGCACCCATTCACTGAGACTATCCATTAGTGAGCAAGTGATGTAATGCTAAATTTTTCCAAACCTGTTCCAATGAAGAAACAAACTCATTCTGACTCAATTCTCAGCAGATTTTCATTTTTGGCTTAACTATTCCTTTAACAGGAGTGACTGACACAACCACTCTGCATTGCGTTGCATTGTAGTGTTAGTCACCATATAGTTTGTGCATTTATTGTTCTTCATTTAGTCTTCATTTAGTCTTTACTGCTTTTCATATTTAGCTTTATACCAAGCAATCAAAAGGATAATACATGAACATGTTGCATTATAAGGTCTTACCTGGGTTTATGTGCAAGACACATATTCACTAGGGTTTTAAGATCTTAAGGTCACTTGAAAATGCGAAGCAAATGCAAATCTTAATTGCATAACCATTCAAGGGTTGGGTCAGCCAGGGCAGGTGTATTCTTATGCAGATTTTTACCTTTGGGTACCATTGTACTTATTCAGATCTGACTGAAATAGATAACCATTTTTAGGGCATAATTTCCCCTTCCTACTGAAAACCCTTGACGTTTACTTTTTCATTAATGCAAATATTTGTCCTGGCTTTGCGCTCATGGCTGTGAAGAAATTGCTATTTACAAACAAACATTTCGGCAATACTTTCAGGTGGCACACCTAGAAAAGAGCTCTTTTAGAACTTCAAATTTTGCTAATGGTATCTAATGTTGGTAGATTTTCATTTCACTGAAGCATCGCACTCAGTCACAAATGTCTGATTTAACCTCTTAAAACGCAACTATAATAACAAATAAAAGGCTGAATACCAATGATGTGACCCAGGCTGAAATCGGGAAAGCATGAGCAGTGTTACAAATTGTACAATGGTAAGAAAAAGTATCTGAAACATTTTCATTAGAATGAACTGCCACCACTAAAACCTGCTCACCTTAATAACCCAGAAGTGTTGTTTTCTGTTTGACGTCACAATCATTTCATCTGTTCAGATGAAGAACTAAGGGTGAGGTTCTGTATGTCAAAAGCACTCACTCAAATTGGCATACATCGATAAATTATACCTCACTGGGCTCATGCTAAATATAGATGAGTCTGCCTTCTATTTCCTTGCATCAGTTTCCCAGAGCTCTTCAAACTTAATGGCCCAAGAAGCCTAAAAAAAGCTTTGTCACTCAGTATAGGGCTTGGAAGTTCAAAAATTAGAAGGGAAGACTTCACATTTTAATTGACATGCCCTTTCACGAATATGACCAAAATGTGGGCACAAGATGGCTTTCTGCCAAGTTCCTGTTTGCCATATTCCACAACCAATCAATGAAACCTGTTCGGATAAAATTCCTTTGAGGCTAAGGAAAGCGTGGGGATTCTGAAGTGCCAGACATTTTTTTTCAGTACCTCTTCACTGAAAATAAGCATCGTTTCCTTGGAGAGTAAGTGAAAATTACCACAGAAGTTACTTTAGAAAAGATTAATTTAAATCTTGGATATGTCATTAGTGAGAATATTTCAAGGCTTCAGTAAAAAGTAACAAGCTTGTTATGCAAGTGTATATGTGTGGAAGAAAATGTGCCAGTCAGTAATTAACAAAGTTTGTTGTGTTCAGGCAGAATGTCATTACTCATTGCTGTTTAAAATCACCCACTGAGACTTGTAAATGAGTTGTAATTTTGCAGTAGGCTCCAACATGCTGCTTGGTTTTAACAATCACTTAATTGTTAAAAATGATTAGGCGTCAACTTAGTGATCCTGGCTGAAGTAATCAGTAATAATGAACAAAAACTCTTTCACCAGTAGTGTAAACAATCTGATGGAAAGCAGAGAATTATTCTTTACATACTGACCTTGTATAGCCTACATAGTCATGTATTTCATTAGACGAAAGCATAGCGGATGGCATTTTTTGTGTAAGAACTTTAACATGTGAGCAGCCTGTTCTCATTTTACAGTCATTTCACAGTACATTATTATGCACAAAAAAATTCTGTGTTGGAAAACTGGCAAGCATAGATGACAAATTGTTCATAGAGTGAAGTGTGCAAATGACCAAGAGCTTATGAGTGGGTTAAGATTAATGTGTAATAAATAATGTATTTGTATTACATTTAACCATAAAATCAGGTGAAAGTCTTTATTTAGTTGGCACTTAATTTACACTTAATTTGCAACTACATGCCAACTAACTTTCATTAGAGTATTAGTAGACTGTTAGGTTAGGGTTAGTAGAATAAGTTGACTTGTACTTGCAAAGTTAGAATATGTGTTGTGGGACCATCAAAATAAAGTGTTAGCAGATTAAACAGACATTTTACTATTACTCCAATGATAGTTAGTTGATATGTAGTTACAAAGTTACTTATAGTTAGTAGAATGTCTAAAGTGGACTATCAAAATAAAGTGTTACCCAAAACAGTTATACATATAAGAATATAAATCAATGTTTTCTTGTAAATATGTATGATAAACTGTTTTGAATTTTTCTGAGTGAGTCATAATTCAACTGATTTGTAAAAAAAAAAAAAAAAGATTCATCAAGGGAACAAAACAAGTGTCTACTCTCTTTATGGTTTTTATAAAAGTGAGTCATTGAAACATTCACTTAACTGATTCATCAAAACACTAATTCATTCACGAACGCACAGTAGTTTATTCTGCAGT